ATATATAAATATTTGACATAGAGTTCTTCTAAACAAGAATAAAACATAGTTGATTGTATAACATACGAAATCAATCCTCTAATTTTTGTTTTTTTCTGTTTGCACCATGCAATTCATATAATTTGGTTCTAAGGATTTGAAACCGGATAGAAGTTCAATAATACCTCATTTTATCTGCATATGAAAATCATGATAGAATTGAATTTATTTGAGAGGAAAAAGAAATCACCTGTTCAAATTTTCAATTCCTATTGGAGCTTTTTTTTTACAGAGTCATTATCTACAATCGATGTTTTATCCCTAATAATATCACTCAAATAAAAATCAACAATAGACGGTGGTGGTCGAGCCGCTTTATTTTTATCTGTACCAATTCATATTTGATTTTTAGCTTGTCGAGATTTGGAGAGCTCAAATGAATTGTTTACTTCTTTGACAAGCCATTTCTGTTCATTATTTGCTGTTGAATGTAATGAAGTAATGTAGACAAAAGAATATCATGTTGTTGTAATTATAAGTTCACCATTCGAACGCATATGATATTATAATTCAGCATCGGTTTGTTGAGAAAAAAACGGATCTGATAACGATTGATTACAACCCGTTAAAAGGTTTGTTCAACAATTTGTGTCAATTCAGATAGTTTCATGTTTTAATTTATCAACTATTTCAAGATTATCTTTAGCAAAAATATGATGTCTTAATTCCTGCATAAAGGTTTTTACTTTTAATAATACATTTTATTCATGAAATTAATAATTCAATCATAATCATAATATTTTCAGTTAACATTGGCCGTTCTGGTTTAATCTGTCGATAACAGTAAGAATATCTTCAAAACCGTATCCTGTTTCTCAACGCATGGAATGATGAATAGCAAGTTCAGCAATTAACTAAACACTTAAAGGAAAAACTGTAGAATATTGTTCTTTACTTCGTTGAGAGTTTCTACAAGACCTTGAATTGTATATGGTTTAGCTCTACTTGTGTTTGTACTTTGAACAGTAATGCGAGCCATTGTATATGCTCGTTTAATTGTCGATGAATCGGGCGGATGTAGATGATGATGAAGAAGAGAAAGTGATGGTGATTGTCGTGTATTGGTTGGTGTTGTTTGCCAATTTCGAACAGATCCTAATGGATTCTGTTGTTAAAGACTATGATCAAAAAAAGAGGATAGTGTAGATGAACTATTAATTGATATACCAACTCTGTTTCCTAAGGAACCTTTCTTATAAGCAAATACTGAGACTTTTCATTCGCGTTCGTTCTGAACCATGTGTCTGATCTAAATAATACATCGTCTCATTCATCTTCGCCATATTTTGTTATACACCTAGCTGCTCATGATGCACTGCATTGATATTGAATGGCATCTGCTAAAATGACGTGTATATATTTGAAAATATTTATTTTAGGATATCACAGAGATGAATGGGATCACGGGGTGATGGTCGGGGAGACTTGAAGGAAAATATCAAAACACAAGTAAAATTGGAATCAACTTAGGCTACTGCGGGTGCGCGTTTGGGTGGTCACCTTGCATCAATACCCACACCACAACCTGAATAAAGATAAAATTAATATAGCTTATATCAAAAGTAAACATGTTTTAAGCTGGGTCACTTACGATACAATTCAAAAAAATTAAAATGATCTATATCTTGTTATGAAAGAATAACAGTGCCAGAGAAGCGCATTAAAAGAAATACTTGATCAAAATCTAGAGTAAACTAAATTTTTGTGTCCGACAATTGTCAATCAAAATATTCTATTACTTCATATCTAAAGTACATATTTTGTTCACCCTATAGAAACAAATCTTTTTTTAAACATATGATTGGAGAATTAATATTTTTTCACACTAGTTCTATTCGAGTTTCGACCCGATAATTAATTCGGCATCATCATTTAAATATATTTTATTCAAGATTCTATCTTCTTTTCTTGCCTTTTTTCTATGTCTATAATAGTCTCAACATTCATTATTTCTCTTATGAATTTTCTATTTTTATTGTTGCGTCTCATCAAATGTCAAGTTCTGAACTACATTTAAAAAAAGTTTTATTACAGAGTCTGTATCCTAGGGAAGAACCTTTGGAGTTTCGTACATGTTTACGGGACCTAGAAAATATTAGAGGTGTGGATCTGGGTGTAAGTGCGTGTATTTCCTTCATAAAGTTCTATTAAAAAAATAAAATTGCATATAAGACTTTGTTTTCTGCACAATACGAATTCAGGTGGTACGAAGAGATCTGTGTTAGAAATAAATTATGTTGTTATTACAAAGATCAATAATATTGTTTACTGTTGAAATTTGTTTGTTAAATAAACCATACAAGAAAAAGAATGTGTTATTCCTTTAGTTATTGCCTGTATTTAATTTCGAGAAAATAGATCATCGACTCCATTAAAGATACTATGCATGAGACACATGCATTTATCAAGATCTGTGTATAATTGAATTTGTTTCGTCGGTTATTTATTCGTGTCTGATCAAAGAGAAAGCAAATTTGCACTATCTTCAACGGCATTGAATATTATATATAAAAAAATAACCAAAACAAATACAAGAAATTCTGAATTCTTATGCTAGCAAATCTTTACAACACACTATTGCTTAATTTTTTTGTATACGCTTTGTTAGAAGTTACCTTATAAAGATGAGAGATTACTTCAACGATAGAATATATACGTTCAATCAATCTGATTCATGTCTTTTAGTTCAAGAAACCTAGTTATCGACAATATCTATTCTATACTTTACCGTGGATTTTTGACGAATTATTTCAATTTTGTATTCCAGACAAATACATCAGTAAATTACGGGTGTTTACGTCAGCTTCTCTCGTTAGTACAGTTGGTCTTTCACGTCTTATTAAACTCAACATAGTTGATAATATTGCACCATCGACGACTTCTTTATCTCGCTTAATGTCTTCAAACCAAATAGTTGAACTACACTTATCACGGTGTGATGGGTAAATACCTGTAAATTTACCGATTCTTGATCACCTTATTCTTACAAACAGCCTTGATTCTTTGAGTAGTTGCTCTTTTCTAAGTAATATTCGATCTATTCAAATTACTCTTAATTATGAACGTTTTCATTCTGCAAGAGCTGATTGGACTAATTTACGGGTTGTCTCAACTTTACCGTTCTTGAATTCTTTACGTTTACTTTTATACGGTATGCATATTCCACCAAATGATACAAGTTGCCAAATCATCGCAGAGACAGCATCAATGGTCGCTGATTTTTGCCTTTGTTTTTGACGTTCATATTATCAAAGTATTTATAACGTTGACTCGGTACATACAAACCAGTTTTTATTCATTAAACAACTGCAAAATAACATTCTTGCCTTACCACTGAATAAAAAGCTTCGCATTATTGCTTGGTTTTAATTAATAAAGAAAAACGAAATTCGTTAGATTAGTAATGATCATTAGAGGAATCACTGTGACACCATTTTAAGTTTTTTCATATCAATCAGCCAGTTAAATAGTAGAAAAATGAATGCAAAAGGTTTTGCGTGGAATAGCAAAATTATACTACAAAGAGTATCATGTATAAATGCATACAAACGACATAATTATAAAGTAATTATCGGTGTATCATTGTTGTTATGCTAATTACCACCTGACCTCGGATTCGTCCTATATTTCCTATAAAAAATGCTTTTGTTTTGGTATAATTTTCAAGCTTTTTAAACAAGTCAATTCGATAATTATTGATTCTTTTACATTCTTTGAATTTTTCACAGGGACTATATTTAAAATACAATTCCTTTTCACACTATCAAACGGACTAAATGAAAGTAACTGACTATTTTAAGTAAAATACTCTTTATAAGTGCTTGTGTTTTTGACACACTTTGCTCTTGGTGGTCTCGGAAACTGAGAGTTATCAAGTTCGTTCAAACATCATTTGATGCAACTATTTCTCCAAATGAAACATTTCTAAAGCTAGTTTTGTAGTGCTTTGACCGGACTTTAAAATGCTAAAAACGTGACCTTGTTAGTAACGCTGAAGTACAGTTTTTTCGCCACCAATTTTGAAGCAATTAACATCATCATAATTATTTGATTTTGATTAGTGTTAATTCTTTTCTTTGTGACTAATCTTTATACATAAAACGAAATCGACACATCTGTATGGAAGCGCATAAGTGGCACAGTGAAGTAGAAAGTGTGTAAGACTCTGCATTGTCCTTAGCTACGAAAGTCAAAAATGAAATAGGCCATTTGTAGAGACTGAAATTCTGCATTTAGTGATCTGTCATTGATACTTTTTGAAAACTTTGAAACGCGGTTTCGATGATATATATATATATGAGATAAAATCATACTAATAAAGATGCACTATTACTTATTCTATATTGTTGAAGAAGTTTCTCAGCATTTGTCGACAAGGTATTAAAGTACGTAGGATGACTGTAGTGATTCTTCAAGATTCTCTTTGATTAAATCAACAAACACACCATTAACAGTTGATACTTTAGAATTATTTTTGCTATTTTTTTTGAAGACATCTAATATTCTTGAAGTTGTGATTCATTAGAGATGCTTTCTTTTCAACCCGCACCTTGTTAAGGTCATGTCACGTGATTGGTGTGATGATGTTATTTCAGAGCATATGCATAATAATTTTGGGACCCATATTCTATACCATTAAAACTCATATGCATAATTATAATGTTAAAACTATTCATCTAACTACCCATGATTTGTGACAGGATCACTGAATTTGATAGATTCTATACAAGATTATGTATCGAATCTCAATTGTTTTCGAAAAGCAAAGTACTTCAATTAATTGTTGGCAAAGAAGCACATGTTCGTGTACAAAGAGAATAGAGAAAAAAAAGTTATTGCATCAGTTTCAAGCAATAACAGAAAAAAGAAACGATTTATAAAGTAAAATTCAAACTATACATATTTGCAAAACCTTCATAATAAATTTCAACACGTCTTGATACTATTTCTTTAATTTTAATATGAATTTACATATTTGCTTTTCAACACTATTATTATTGTTATTACTAATTGAAACAATAGTATCTCGTCCAGTGATGCAAAGAATTCGGATTAACAATCATCTATGGGAAGTGCCGAATGAATCTGGATGGGAAGAAGTATTGAAAGAAGCGACAGAAATTCAACAACTTCTACATGACTGTCCAACAGCAGCTGAATGTCGTCGACTAGTTAAAGATTTACGTACTATCTTTCAGTATTATCCTGTTTCAAGAAAATATTTCGAATCCAATGAGAAAAATGCTGATGATATACTAGCATCGATATTTAAATGGGGTTAATTATATATTTATATATATATATATATAGGATAATATTTATTTACAGATTAAATTTTTCATGAAACTACTATCGTTTTTGAGATTTTGATTTTCGTGATGCATTTATTTTAATTTTTCTTGGCGTCGATTTTTTATTGTTGGATTGTTTGTTAACTTTCTTGTTATCAGATGTTGATACGCTCATATTCCACGAGTATGGTGGTTGTGTATAGCGTTTGTCAATAAAACCATCTTTAAAATCAGATCCGTATTTTTTTCCAACGAGAATTTTTTGTTTCAAACATGCGTCACAAGATTTGATTAGATTTGATTTCTTTGATGGCATGGTAATAATAAAAAAAAACGAAATTACTAGTTGAATTTCGAAATAAAAGAAAATACTTCGTGTTCTGTTTTTCCCGCAAAGTCTAATCTCAATGAACAATTGTAAGAAAATAATGTTTTCAATTGTAATTTTGCCCCCAACTTTGTTTTGGTTACAGACAACTTTTGACGCTACGCTTTTTTCTTCTCTTCCAATTCTGAATTAAGTTTAATCCTGTGCGGATTATTCATAAATAACTGTACAATTTTTTTTCTAAAGTACTGTGTCACTTCGCGCCCGCTAATATTCAATTTAATTTTGTGACGTAGTTGAATAAAATATAGGATAAATCAATGCCATAGGACTCCTACCCATTGACTTTTATTTTTACCTGAAAAATAATAAGAAATTAAAATGTTTCGTTCGTGGTATAGAAAACGAAATTATTATATTACTGAAATTAGCTGAATGGCATGATTATGAGTGGTATTGGATTCTAGTTCAAACGTAATTAATAAGATAATTTCATGTGGTTAGAATGATTGCATTTTAGTTTCTTTGAAAGTGCAAATAGTAAAGATAATAAATGATGTTCAACTAGGAATATGATGAAAAATTTGAGTAAAGAAAAATTTATTTTTCGATTTTCAATCTTAATATTGACAAAAGAACAACCACCGTGACGGGAAAAATTGCAATCTTACGTATAATTTTAAAAGTTCTTTCATTTTTGAAAACAGAAAACGTCATGCAATAGTTTCTTAAATAAAAACTATCGAAAAAGAATTATTTAATTAGCTCCAGCTGGTAAGTGAACATTTTCTGCATATTGATTTGGAATGTTACCAGGTGGATCAAATATAGCAACACCATACGACCAATTTCCATCTTCTGATCGAGCTCGTCCAACGCCAACTTCTTTCGTTGAACGCCAAACTAGTTGCGTAAAATTCTCCGTATCTTTACGTCCATCATAGCCAAACATATATCGTTTTCCTTCTTTCAACCATTTACGAACCATCTTATCACCTACGAAACAAAAATAAAAATTGAAATAATTTTCTCTGAAAAACCAAATCTCAAGTTAAACCTGTTAATGGAGCTTGAAATGATGCAAAATAGTTTTCTCCAAGTATTTGTCGTCCGAGACTGCGCCATTCTTGTGGACTGTGTTCTAATTTGCCAGTACGAGCCATTTGGTCTGCCCAGCGTTGAGCTATTTCAGATAGTTGATCACTGAGTTGTACTGGTTGAGCTTCATACGGACGACGAGCAGCGTTTATTGCTTGAACAGTTGCCAGAGCAAATGCTTCATTGTCTTCGGATAAGCCAATAGAAGAGGCTAAATGAAACAAAATATTAAACACTGATCCCATAAGAAAGGCAAAAATACTTGATAGAGTTGAGTTAGTGCGTGGATTGACCGTTGCGATAAGACCTTTTCCAGTTGCGGAATTTTCACGTGTAACTTCAAAGGCATTAATATCAGTAGGACTAACAGTTCGCGATGTATTATGCGTAGCACTTGGTAGTCGTTCATAAGGAGATTTCTTCTTGCCACGAAATTTTTTCATGAAGAATGCAGCAACGCCTTAAATAATGCAAAACACTTCTTTGTTTTCTCTCCTTCAGTAACCTTCTACTCTACTTACCAATTCCAATACCAGTTAATAATAATCCTGACAGAGAATTTGTTAGCCTATTAGATAACGTAATGAAAAGAATTTCATTAATCTTCTTCTTACCACAGATACCAGTAAGACTGTAAACATAATTGGAATTGAGTAGATGTGAGCCCCATGTCGTTCACCTTTCAAAGCGTGTATTCTTTTGCGCAAATGTACACAGAGAAACAACGTATGTCTTCTTTTTAAATGGAAAGAAAATGTTTGTTTTAATAGAAGATTAAAAGTGCGAGAAGAAAAAAAAGTCTGGTGGCTATGTACAAAATAAGAAGTTTTAACATAAGCGTTTCATTTGATCTCATCATTAACAAAGAAAACGCATTATGTCAATGGTTTGAAATAACCATTAGACGGCTTTGTGATCAAATTCAAAGCGATAGAATTTATGTTGTTAATCGTTTGATCTATATAAAAGATTCAAAAATATTTTTTCGTTTCGATTCGGTTCGTTTGCTTTTTGTATTTATTTTGTCGAACCTGCAATGAATGAATTAAATTGGCAAAAATAGAAAAAAAATGAGTTGATGTTGTTGTTTCGTTTGAAAAATAAGAAACTGTTTTATCGAATCCATCGTTTGTTTTCTGATAATGTTGAGTTAGGTTTTGTAGCGTCCCTTGACAGTCCAGAAGAAACTTCTATAATGATTCAATTCGATTGCCTGTTGGCAAGACTTGAATAATATTTACCTGAATCATTGCATTCTTATCGAATTTGTTCATCCACAATTTTATTTCCTAACAAAACAAAAAATTCGAGAAATAAAACAGCAGCAAAATTGTATCTTTCACACCTCCGATTGGTTTTTCATTTGTTCGATTTCAGATCTGGTTAAAACTAAATCGACTACAAAAAACAGAACTGATATTTACAGAATACTGGTAAATTAAAATAGGACAACTTTTGCTGGCAGAGAAAATTAAATTGTAATTTTGTTTAAGGTCTAAAATTTCCGGATGACGATCAATGGATATCTTTGAAACAATATTCATAATTGGTGTACGCGTTTTCGATGTTTTCAAATCGTATATCTAATGAAGAAGAAGAAGAAAACAAAGAATGCTTAGCACTAAAGAAAGCTATTTCCAAACTTTAGATAAATCATCAAGTGTAAGAATTCGATTGGTTGGAGTGGAATTTAAATGATTTAGAGCTGAGAGTATAATCTAAATGTTAAACTAAGCAAAACATTAAAAACCCGAATGTAAGAACTGACCTCGAGTAATATTTTAATATGCTTCGATTGATATAAAAAGATGCATGCTTCATTAATTATGTGCATTTGCTTGTTCAATGTATCACAATTATCAGCAAAGGTGAGTTTGAATTTCAATGTATTCAATCGTTCCATATAGAATGGTATTTGAATAATCTATAATTCAACATCTTCTATAGACTAGAATTTAGAAAATTCTTATCATAACTGACTTCAAACATGAGTCGATCCGTTGGAGATAATTGTTCTTTATCGATAGGCGATTGACGAAGAGCATCGATCTGTTTACAATAAAATTCAATTGTTTAGCAAATAAATTTTATAGTTTAAGGGGCGGGGGGGGGGGGGGGGGGGGGGGGGGGGGGGGGGGGGGGGGGGGGGGGGGGGGGGGGGGGGGGGGGGGGGGGGGGGGGGGGGGGGGGGGGGGGGGGGGGGGGGGGGGGGGGGGGNGTGTTGTGTTAACTCAACTTCTTGCAAATTTTTGGCTCATAAAGTTTTTGCTTTGAAAAGTTATTGACAAATTAGTCCCCAAAATGGTGGTTCTCGTAAGGTACCGATTTCTCGAACTGCCAAAGACGTAGAGAGCTACTGTTTTTTTTTAAATAAAAGAAGAAACCTATGTCTAGAAATGTATGTAGCGTTTTTTCGAAATTCGATTTTGTTCGGATTTCCGAGACATTCTACTGCAAGAACTCGGAATTTACCGCTTTTTGGCATCAATGTTATCCAGTTATCTCGGCAAAGAAATCGATTTTCGAAAAAACGCTACATACATTTCTAGATGTAGGCCTCTTCTTTTATTTAAAAGAAAAAATAGCTCGCTAGCTCTTCTACAGTCTGAGAAATCGGTTCCGAACTCTCCAAAAAAGCGATTTTGAGAAAACGAATAAACAAGTTGCATGAAACAATTTTTCATTTCACTATGACTGTCACGACATCTATACGGAAATTTCGTCATGTGCACAGGATTTTAAGTAGAAATGACTACGTTCCACTAATTAATTAACATAACAGAACGCGTATCTGTTTCTCATTAGATAAAATCTACCAGTTTATGGACCAATATCACATCCCCATAACTAAGGAAAATTTCTGAAAAAAACATATATTTCTACTACTGCTTTTAGAAAACAGCTATTTTCACCACCAAAAACTATTCAAAACATGACAAATCGCACATAATCTGAAAGAGGACACTTTGAACTCTCAGTATATATGCTTATCTCAAAATCGATTTTCTGAGGTGGGAGCCCCTAACTTCTTCTGAACTCAATGAATTGATTGTTTATTTCATATAGGCAGTCATTTTTTACAAGTTTTTCTTCATTTTATCATATCGTATTTTTCGAGTAGAGTGCTTATCGAATAGTTTTATTTTTGTTCTACTGAAAGAACTCATCGTTTAAAGATTTATTTACTCGTAAATGCATGATTTCGTTTCATTTTCAACTTAAGAAACTATTGCGCATTTCGTTTTTCTTTCAATGATTCAGTAAGACAACAACAGCACGAATCGACACTTGCTTGCATACAGAAAATCATGTTTTTATGAGAAAAAAACACGTGATTTTTACTTTCCATAAAATCAAGATGGGGTGAAGGTGCTGCAGAGTCGGGTATTATGACGTTCGTGTTTGTCTCTTTCATAGTAATAAATAAGATTAAAAACACACTTAAATGCAATGAAGACAAACGAAGTAGTGCGCGTCATAGGTATATTAATTTGTAGACTATATTTTTGTTTTCTTGAAATTATTTACCTCATTATTATTAGGAATATATTGAATTAAATGTTGTACAAGTTCATTTGAAATTAAAGCCAAATTAAAACTTTTTATTGCTTCAGCTATTTCAGTTGGACTACGCTTATTAAATGCCAATATAATACCTAGAACCGAAACAATACGTTAACTGTGACTTTGGTGGTTCTTCGGAAACTTGGCTACCCCCCATAATAGAAGCCCCCTCAAGAGAGGTCGATATGAAAACGTATTAGAAGCCCTGGGCTTGCATTTATTGAATAATACCTTTTTTTTGTCTCTCAAGATAAAATTTCACAGATTTTCGTGAGATTATTTGAACTTATCGCAAAAGTTCATTGAAATAATGACTCTCTTACAAGGGGAAAACAGCTGAAATCTGTTCTTTCTTATTTTTTTGATATAAAATCAATTGATTCAAAATTTGAAAAAATAAAAAAAACTACCAAAGACAAGTTTTAAAAATTCAAAAATTTTAGAAACTTAAAAATCAGAAAAAACGCTGAAAAGACTAGATAAATCAAACCTTGGAAAAATTATAGAAATAAAATGATCTATTTCAGCCTAAATTCATATTTTGGACGATAAATTCAAAAATTTTTCACTTAGTTAGATCGAGCCATTGATTTTTTGATTTTCCCAGACTTTTTTTGAACTCCTGTCCGAAAATCGCATTAGTAGCCCTCCCTTAATAGAAGCCCCCTTAAAAAATTTTGCGCGTTTGACAAATTAGCACTCCCCGCGGCTTCTATTATGAGGGGGGTGGGGGAGGTTAGCTTAGTTTATCATTATGTGAATGAGCATAAATATACAAAATACTACATCTACTGTATGTACAGGAAAATAGCACTGACAGAAACACGGACCCGCCGTGATAAGTATAAAATAGAACAGTCAAACACATTGATTTGATCAATCTATCAAAAAGAAAGGCAACGCTGACGATCAATGTTTATTATTATGCTGGTGACCATGTTGTTCCAAAACCTGAGCTCGAACCAAAGCGAAACGTAAAACGTCCTGGCGTTGGACGAATAATTCCACCACTGTAGTAGTAGCGAATGGCTCTGGCTAATTTCTCATAGGTCATCACTGAAAGAAGAAAAGTACATTCAGTTAACGAATAAATATAATACACAAAAATGAAATTACCTGAATCTGAATTTCGTCCTTTCGCATGTTGCCATAATTGAGCAGCAACTTTTTTTTGATGAAATTTAAATATGCCTTGCTCTCTATCAATATATGTAGCAATATTAGAATACTTTTCGTTATCGAGCAACTGTCGGAGAAATTCATGCAACAAGGGTCGACGTAGTCGTCCACTATTGGGATCCAAAATAGACCACTCGTCTAGTTGTGATGATTCCTGATTTCCGTCGGATTCCTGCAATGACCGTTGATCGCAATCGCGCATAGACTCTAGCTCGATATTAGGCGTATCGTATATCACTTTGGACATTCCAAAACCAACATTAAAAGAATCATTCGATGAATTGTTGATTGGTTCGAAATGTATTTCACTAGGCGGAGGTGGACTCGATTGTTCGCTAGGTTCGAGCCACATGTCAATGGACTCATCAACACGGTTGCAATCAAATTCAGGTCGTTCGATTGAACGAGTGCTCGGTAACGATAGTATAGGATCGGGTGAATACATTAGATATGCTAGCACAGGATCTTTTTCTAGATTTGACCTTGATAATGCATGTTGAAATATCCAAGTCGCCATATCATCATAAGTCTCAAAGTGTTTGCCATTGTACGAGCCTAATGGGCTCAGATATTGATCAAATTCGTTAGGCGAAGCCATACGAAGCAATCTCTAGCGTTGATATATTCAAATAGCAAAGGCAAATGCCTGCTATATATATATATAGAGAGAGAGAATGTTCTTTTAAAATTTAGTTTTCTCTCACTCTATGCTTTTTTTGACAAAAAAAAATAAAGCACTTCAAATGTTACTATTTTTCTTTTTTCCAACAGTCGAAAATTTATTTTTCTCTCTGTTTGACTAGTAAATCTTGAATACGATGCGGGACAAGAGTAATTTCGTCTACACGTTTTTTTCAAATGTTTTCTTATCGCAATCAAAGAACGATTAAACTTTGTATTCGACGGTTATATCTCATAAAATACGAATTGGCAAATGAAACATGCACGGGCTTACCCCAGCAACCTGGTTAGGTTGTGTTTTTCGTTGCTATACTCAAATATCAGTGTTTTCGTATTCTTTTATATATTTTTTTTTTACATGAGTCATACACAAAGGTAAAAGGCACTGTATGCTTTTAGAAGAATGAGAGAGAGAGAAAGTTACTTATTCGGCGAAAAAAAGCAAAAAAGGATCAAATAAATTACATTAAAACATAATACATACCAATATTGTACGATTTTCGATCATCCAGGATCGTTTTCGTTTTCGATACGTTTGAAATATGTGAATTTTCTGAAGAAAAACAAAAAATCAGACTAAAATCTTCTAGTTGAAATCATTTACTTTGATTTGGTGTGCTTGTCAATTCATTGAAATACTCAGCGACTTCATAATTTTTTACCTGTAAAACATTTTGACTAGTTTTAAAAATAGAACATGTATAAAGAATATGACGTCATTCATTTTCTACGCCTATATTTTAATGACTCAAATTCAATCAAAAGTTATTCTTCCCTTAAAGATCACATCACAATATGTGACAAACAGTACTTGATGGAACTGCCTAAAAGACAAATAATACTTGCATTCGACCATAAAGTTTGTTGCCCAGGTATTTTCAGAGTTTTTGGAAGCGATTGTAATTGAGATTTAATTGCTAAATCGAACGAATCGGGTAATGGTGGTGCTCGAGGAATAAAAGCTTTGTTTTCCGTTTGTATTTCAATTGATGATAATGATGATCGAGTAGTCGATGCAGACGGAGAGATTGATAGTGGCATGTTACGATGTTTCATTTTTGTAATTTCTATTGGTACATATAACGAAGGACTATCTGATAAAGAAACCTGATCAATATCAGTAACTCTGTGAGCTTCTTTTCTTTGATATTTTTTTTCGAATTTAATTATTTTAGTTGTTGTCGTACGCAGCAAATGATCCATAATTGATTTATCATTCAATAAACGAACAATAGAATTGGGTTCACAATCGAGAAAATAAAGTTGAAGTTCAATATCTGATTCATTCGATATTGGCATCATAATAGTCTAAAGATGAGAGCATTCTAAAGAATTAAGAATGTCATTATAAAAATCATACCATAAGGTCAAGATGAGAGAAACGCTAAAAAAACCACAATTACCCAATTTTAATGAACTTTTGTTTACTGCAAACATTCTAAATTTCAAGTGTGACGTCAAAAGTTCTCATACAAAATAACGCTGACGAATAAACCTCATCTACATTTTTTTCTATACCGACTATAAAATGATTAATAATCTTCTTTTCGGCGACGTCACTCACTTATCAATAATAAATACCATTTAATACTATACGAAAGGTCCAATAATAATTTCTATGATAAGATATTATCCTCGACCTTTATTCCTTTCAAAAGACATTCATCATTTTCCTTTTCATTTCAACTAACAAACACAATGGCAAAATTTACCGATTTAATAAAAATAATCACATCGGTATTACTGATAATCTTAGTTCATCTATCGACGGGAATGAGTGCTGATGATCGATGTGATAACAATATATTTGTTTTGATTTCTTCTAAAACTGTTTTTATATTAAATTTCGATGTTCAAGGCGATTATTCACCGAGTATTATCTATCAAGCAAAATCCAATACAACTATTGAAAATGGATTTTTCAATAAACGAACCAATAAGATTATTTTATTGACTAATCAATTAAATCAAACTTACTCGATAATAATACTAAATGTTAATGATGATATTTATAAATCTTGGATAGAAAAATCTACTAGAATTACATATTTCACGTATGCTTCTTTAGCTCAGGGTCAACGTTATCTCTATGTATTGAACAATCCAACGTTATTGTTACAAATATTTGCTTTACCATTCACATCAACATCATACAAAGAAAATTATTTAACAAATTTACCAAAAAATCAAACTCTATTAAACTATATTGTTGATGAAAAATTTTATTCGCTATGGATTTTATTTAAAAATATTCAATCTCAATTATACGTGTGTGATTTACGCACGTATGATTGTCATTTGTATATGAATATAAATAACTTAAATGAACGTGCGCATTTATCTATCAATTGGAAATATCAACAATTTTATATTTATTCAAAAGAAAATTTACTCATCTTTGAATATAATCAAAATCAAACTGGCTATTCAATTAACTATTTAGATTTTCCCAAAGAAAATCAAGATAAATTTTTAACAGTCTGTGCAAAGACTAATAATATTGAATATCTATCAATTAATTACGATAATAAACAACAAGCATGCTATCGTACATGCCAATATTTACCATCGGTATTCGATGATAAAAGTCGCATTCATACAGTAGAACGACTTTCAGCAATATCCGATGTTCTCTATTGTTCAAAGAAACGTCGTATTAGTAAAATTGTCGTACTTATTCTAATTTTAGCAGATATTTTAGTTATATTAGCAGTTATTGCTTGGTTAGCATATAAATATTTTTATTATACAACATTAAATGAACAGAAACATGAAATGAGTGATGGAACGATTTCGACAAGTGAAAACACTTGCGTTACACATTTTTGAAATATTAAATCAAAACAGACAAACTGAATTTATTCCGAAATACTCGTTTTTTGTTTATTTGTAATTATTCAATTTCTGCGAACTTCAAATTTCTTACTCAATAAATCTATTTTAGGGCGCATCTGAAAACTAGGAAAAGCAAAAAACTACATACTTAAATAGAATACATAATCTAATCTCTGAGCATTTCTTCACAACGCTAAATTTACACAAGCCTATTACTTACTTCACATATGTTAACATTACTATCATTGCCTTTAACGACATTGTAAATGTAGGTACGTGTGTAACAGCTTGTTAGATTTTTATTCCTACAAGGTTTTTTCTTTCTTTTGTCCGATGCTTTATTTCTTTTTTGGAAACGTTTTGCATAAATACACATACACATACAAGGGTTATAATAAAAAACACACACACACACACATACAGAGTCAACGAATGTAAGTCTACAACGTTAAAAAATATGAAAGAACTCGAACGGGTGAGATATGTTATTAGACTTCATCATAATTCTGAGTCAGCATCTAAAAAGAGAAAGAAAAGAAACAATAATGAAAATTAGTATTAAGATATTATCAATTGAAAAAAAGGCAAAAGTCGATATCAGCAAAACAAAAAATGATAAAAGCAAGCAAAACACAAAACAACTACCATGGCTTTCTAGTAAAAGAACATCGTGCATGAAACCACGAAGTGTGTTTAAATTCCGATGGTTATTATTAACTATGTGCAGTAAAAAGCGTGTACGTGCATATGAATACAAATATTAAGTGAGACAACATGTTTGTATGCAATACTTACTTGGTGGAATGCATGAGCCAACTTTTTTCTCTTGTAACTCATTTAATAGTGGTAAATAGGCAAAAATCTATTCACAGACAGTCTTTTTTTCTATAAAGTTTTTAGTTTCCTACGAACCTGAAGAAGACTACGAAATATAGCTTTCGCTTGAGTTTGCGTACGTGTTGTTAACATTTGAATATATAACGCGTATAAATAAAAATATTGAATACTGCGCACAGTTTCTTGATTGTGAAGGGAGTCATCTAAAATTAATTAATTATTTCAAGACGGGTTTACGCTGTTAGATAATTTTTTAATTCATCTAATTATTTTCAAGATGTACACTCGGGATATGACGATAATGAGTTACTCCAGTTCTTAGTCTAATTGTTTCGAAATCTTGAAAATGAATGTTTCTGAGTTCTTACCTTTGACACAAATAACAACAGGAAATATTAAGGCATGTTCCTCGTGAGTTAAACGCAGTGAATTAAATTTATTGGCAAATTCAAACATTGTTTGAACCATTTCTTCACCGATGATTTTATTCATCCATCGACGTGTATATTGAAGACCATTTGGTAACATCATGTATGATTCATTGTTACCAATTAACGGTGCATGTTTAATCTAGAAAGGATAAGTAAAAAGGAAAAGAAAATGAATTAAAATTTTCTTACGAGCCAAAAATCAAATAGACGATTGTTCATTATTTTGTGAAAATCATCGGAATGAATTTCATTGATTGCAGACATCTAAATATAGAACTAGTTTATTTAGGTTTGTTTTCCTTTGAAAAAAATGATGATGATGATGACAATATTAATAAGAAGAAAAAAACGAAGCGTAGATTAAGTTTCCAGATATTATCTTTCTCATCATTTTTTAATGACCGAATGAGCTCGAATACTATTTCTAGCAGCAAGTAATCATATAAAATGGATATATTATTCGTCCTTTCTTTTACACCACGTACTCTTGTCTAATGAAGAATTAAGAATATACGATAGCTGATGAAACACTTACTTCACGTGCGAATGCGATGAGATTTTTAACATGAAATGGAATAGCATCTAAAATTACATTCAAGATGCCCGTAAAAAAAATAGATGATCGCAATTCAATTCAAGTAAACCTGTTAGGCCAGCCCAAACATCTTGTAGCGAAGAAGAATTGCCAGGAAAATCTTCAATCTAATACATAAGGAAAATATTTCACGGTATATATGAATTCTCAACGCGTTCTATTTCAGCCTATACCCCAAGACGAATCATACTATTCATTCGTTCGATTAATTGTCGTGTGCGTCCATTATATGTATTACTTAAATCGAACATTTTCCAACGAATATATCGAATAAACGATGATTCATCATAATCAAGTTCTGTACATGGTGTCGGGTGGGATATTTTTCGAACAATACTTTTCATACGCTCAATCACATCGTTTCCAAAATGTTCTTCACAATTTGTCATATAGTTAGTTAACGCAGAAGGATTCAATGTCACAATCCGATTATCAAATTCATTATTGTATTCAGGTCTGGTTTCATCTAGTGTAAAATTATCTGGTAACTCATAATTATGACAAGATGACATAGTTGCTGTTATGTGTGGGGGTGTATCACATTTCGAATGACTATCGATAGGTACACTATCTAGATCGGCAAATAGGGAGTGTTCATCGATTAATGGTAAATTTAAATCGATTGTAGATGATGTTGGCATTTGATTATTGGAATTCGTTGATGGGACACGAGATGGTGAGAGTTGAGCTGGATCTTCATTTTCTATACTCGATGATACATGTTCTGCTAAGGCTTTTTCTTTTATTAATTTAGGTATTCGACCCATTCGGACCCCTACCACAACAAAAATGAAATAAAACTATCTTCAATATTCAAGCAAGAATTGTTATCCGAACCTTCGACGGACATTCCTTCTTTAAGGCACTTTTGAAAACGACACGATTTACATCTATTACGATTGTCACTATTAACAACACACTTATCACCAAAATAGCATCGGTATTTTTCTTTTCGTAGTATACTTCGTTTGAAAAAACCCTAAAATAAATAATAAATCTAATGTTCATGTCAAGTTAAAAATTCTTTCGGCTGATGATGAATCCATTATTTTTATCCGAAAGAATATGCTTAGAAGTCAAATTACTTTGCATCCTTCACAGGTTGGCACACCATAATGGGCACCGGTGGCTTTATCTGCGCAAACACGACTATAAATATCCAAAATAGAAAGTGTCGAAAAAAGTATGTCAAATTAAAATTTTTACCAATGTCCAAAAGGGAAAGGTCGTTTATCGACAGATGTATTCGTTGAAATTATTTTTCCAATTTGCTGTATTTCTTTTTCATTTGTTACTTTTTCAATAGGAGATCTAATTAATATTTTAACACGACGAATTTTTCGTTTTCGTACAACACCAGGTGTTTTCGTACGGACTGTAGCAGACGCTGTATTATTTGTTTCATTAGTTACTAAAAACTTACAAGGTAAAAAAAACAAAAGCTTAGTCTATATCAAATTTACCTTCATTCATTAATTTATGCATTCTTTTTTTCAATCAAAATTCAGTAATGCATTAGAACAAAATCTAAAAACAGAAACTAAAATCCAACAAGACTGCACTAGTTATTCAGTTATTTTATTCACATGCATTACACATGTGTGGGCTAAAACATAGTGCGATTTTCACTAGCATAGAAGTACCCGAAATCAAATCTGCTAATGCAATAGGCTTTTATTTTATTTATATCCTTTATCTACGTCTCTTAACTATTAGAAAGAATGATAAAATATTTAAAGAAGAAAAAAAATTCACCTGATTAAAAATATGCTACTAACAATCGTCTTGCACTTTTGTGAATAATACAACCTAATGTTCTCAAATAAATAGTACATTGTAGTATTAGAAGGAAATGTTGAAGAAACAACAGCATAGTGGTAGGACTATAAAAATAAGTTTGTGTCGTTTGAAGTAAGAAAAGGCGGAGAGAAAAAACACGACGTACACGGAGAGGGATGTCTGATGCACTAACTACATTACAGAAAGAGAAGGATGAGTGTGCATGTGTGAAAAACCTTCGTCATCCCTTGCATCGAACTGCTTCAACAACAAAAAAGAATAGAAAGAAGAAAACAACCAATGGGGGGGGTCATATCGTTCTATTATGCAAATCGTGGACTACTTGACTCTCAGCATGGAACTGGCTCATTTGTTGTGAACGACATGCATTTTTGAGAAAGTAAGCAAAAAAACTAGAATGAATGATTCTCCGCTGGTGCTTAATAGTGATCACAGAATTACTGAGTAACGACAGATGCATATATTTTTTTGCAGAAAGAAAAGACTAGACTTTTCACCTTAACATTAAGAAAGAGAGAGAGAGAGAAAAGTATTCTTTCAAAATAGATATAATTATTAAATACAACCGGTGTAGAATCTGTGCACTCTATTTCCGTCATTATTCTAACAATTAGTTTGACGACAAAAATACCACTGTCATAACTCATAATAGGCATACTAAAAATTGTTCTAAAATTATTTTATTATAGACTCGCTCTCAAATCATGATCAGAATTATCTATAAAAACTAAATGATGTCTAGAAAAAGAAAACGCATGTCGGTGCTATTCCATCGTAAAAGTCCACTTATATATAATTAATGAAACATACTTGAGACGTATTTTGTTTTTTCTTTCAACTATAATGTGTGTCGTTTGAGAGCACTGCTAACCCTTCTCCTTGTTATTTGTGTTAACAAAATGAAAAAACTACAATAGTCTTCGGAATGTGATTTGTTTTTATATAGACTTTCTCGTAATTTATTTATACAGAATCAATAGAAAAATCTATGCTTATTTTGTTGTTTTACGTTGATTATATGAAAATATCCATAAATTTAAAAAATGCCAAAATCAATTAAAAATCTTATTTCGTATAATAATTAAACTCGCCTATTCTATAGCCTAATTAATATTAAGACACTTAAAAAAGAATGAATTTTTGTTTGGATTTGCAGTTGTGAGAGAACACCATGGAGCACAATAAATGTGCATATATTTTATACTTGTCAAGGACTAAAAGTTTTCGCCAATGTAAAACATTTTGTAGTAAAGAAAAACAGCATCGAAATTAAAAAAGGGTCTAAAACACTCTCAGCATTTTTCTAATGGAATTATATTCTACAACTTGTGGTTATTTCCATGCCATGAACGCTTCCAAAAAGAATCAAATCTTGTTGTTTTTCCAATTTCTGTTTAGCACAAATTTATTGAAATTAAACCGTTATAGATCATGATTTATATTTATTTATAACTGAACTTCTATATTATTAGTACAGAAAAATTCTTGTGAACATTTATCAGTGACTGATGAAAATCTAACATAAATAAGCAAACGGAAGCTTTTACTTTCAAAACAGCCGAGAATATTTTCATTGTGCGGTCGTTACGACAAAAACTGTTACATAAAATGAACGAATAACTTTTATGTTTATCCCATTCAATAACATAAAAATTCTAAAAGAAATAAAAATACATTTTTCGTATGCGCATTGAATCGGAATGAACAAAATATTTTTCTACTTTTGGTTTACATCATCTCATTTTTTTATGCACAAATATCATATGTTCAAATGTATATAAGTATATGTAACTTTTTTAAACGAAGCACAAAAAAAAACAGCAAGAATCCCAAAAAGAAAAATACACAATAGTAGTACAATACAAAGAGCACATCGATATAGAAGAGCAAAAGACCAATTTATTGTGGAAAGAAACAAAAGAACAGAAACAGCAAAAGGAAAAAGAGAATTCAATCGCCACCAAGCAGCTAAATTACAAAAATAGGCCAGAACATGTTAACGTTTTAGTATTATCTGACTCAGAGAAGAAAAAAAGGAACGAATTTACTTTTTTCTCTTCTTCGTTTTCAAAAAGAAAAAAGAGACTTGTTTAACTTTAATGTGCAGCTGATGCACAATGTCGCTGCTAGGTGATTGGAAGAAGAAGAGAATACAAATTTATCGGCATGACAAAACATTTAAAAGAAGAAAACAACAAGAACATTGAATAGTTTTTAGAAGTTTCTATTTTCTTCACTTTGCTTTACATGTTGCTGACAACGGAGACGTCTATGAAATGATGAGAAAATTAAATAAATATTGATAAAATAAATTTATATTTACCTTTGAGTTAGAATATTTCGCTTTATTTCAAGTATACGAAAGTTAGATTTTAATGCTTTTAATTCCGTAAATGCGGTCGATGTTCTAGCACTGTATCCATAGTAGTCATCAAAAATTTTCAAACACTAAAATGGTTTCATACGAAGAAATTTTGATCGATAGTAAAGAGTTTGTTACCTGTTTTTCTAGTAGGCCTGATTGCCAACCAGTTAAATGCTCAATTAATTCAGCACGATAATATTTCTGAAGGTCTTGATCACGTTCTGCTTTTGAGAAAATCGGCGTAGTTGATTCCGCTTCAGTACTTAAAAAGATTGAGTTGTAGAAATTGCTTTTAGAAGCATTAAATGTACACTCTCTGAGTTTTCAAAAATATAATGAATACTTTAAGAAGTCATAATAAACTAAAAATAGCACAGCTGTATCATTTGGCAAGCAAAAAGAACCTCAAATGCAAGGTAGTTTTGGCATATATTCAGATAAATTCGTAGTAAAAAACAATTTTAACCGCTATTTCTTTCCCTCATGTAACTATCTCACAGTCGGAAGTTTAGAAGGAGTCATTGCTAGTTTTCCGTGTCGATGCACTTCAATCAGTAAGGTAGTAGTTTTTTATGCGGATATGCACTCATTTATGTAACCTTTTCATAAGCAGTTGACAAAGATTTGTGATTAACTGTTTTAAAAATAGATAAGAAAGCATTGTAAAGAGTATCATTAATCAAGATAGGTGACGTTAGTGAATCAAGTTATTGTTGCTGATGTAGTATTTTGTACTGAATCAATCTTAACAAACTATTGAAATTCTCTCTAAATATTGCAAGAGATTATTTTTCTCTGAGATTGCATTTTTAATCTTCTAGATTTCATCACTAAAAAACCGAACTTTCTATTAACATACACTATTGTTGGTTCTATTTTTGCCGACGTAGGAGCAGTTGATTGTGATATCGAATTTTTATTATCATTTCCTACACAACAATCATAGTTTATTTATTCAGTTTAAAATAGAATATTTACCATTTACAAGTTTCATATTACTTTCAAAAGATTTCGCTTGAATATCACGTACTGGAGTTGAGACTGAAATGGCTATGAAAAATTTTACATTTATAATTTTCAAGTGATAAATATTTATTTTACCGGGTTGTGATAAAGATGAATTTAACGTAGTACCATTACTTTGATTCATAGTAGAAGCTGATTCTTTACTGCTAGTTGATGAAAATGACATTCGAGAACTGTCATCATCTAGAAATAAAATTTCACTTCGTTTAAAAGTTATATTTCATTTTTATTATACCTGAAGTTGGGAGACGGTTATTAGCAACAATGGGTATTTGTTCATGGGATTGTTGATACAAACGATTTCCATTTAGATGATGATGATTGGAATTTTCTGATGCTATTTTCAAATTGGAAGTTTGGGAAAGTCGTTTGTCTGTAGATGATTCTTCCGTCTTATATCGACTACAAACTGTTGATGAAACATTCGTCGTGGATTCTTTTTAAAAATAAAATTTCTTAGATAAAAAAAACCGCTTTAATCTTATTAAAAATAAGAAACCTTTTTTAATTCGATTATTTGATGGAGTTGATGAGCAATTTGTTCGATTCAACTCATCGGTTAGCCATCCTTTTGGTTTTTCCCATTGTGATACTTCAGTTTTGGAATTATAAAAATAGGTTTTCCCTAAAAAAAAGTTAGAATTCGATTTGATCAAATCTTTTATCATTTATAGAAACCTGCTGAACTCTTAAATTCAGACCAATCGCCGAAACTACGAAGCGGTTTTTTTGTCTAGATAAATTCTTTGAAAATTAAAATGTATTAATAGAAAAAAACCTACATCTTTAACAGTCTTTTTCTCGCCATTTTCACGTTGCTGTTGAGACGACGAAGAATTTGACGTGACTCGATTGTTGTTTGCAGAAGCTAAAAAAAGATTATCATTTACTTTTATCAAAACCGTGCAAAATTTAATTTACATTGAGTTCGCATATATTTTCGATGATTTGACATTTCCTCAATACTTCCATGTGTTTGAGCATTCCAATCTCGCTTATTCGACTAAAATTAATAAAAAAATTGTAATGTTTTCCATCTAAATTCTCTACTATTTTCTTACGGAGTAACCGCTGGCATCTTTCCGGGAGTCATAAATCTGTGTATCTGTTGTTCTATGCTTACTATCATACATCGCAGGCAGCAAAAACTATGTACATTTGGATCGTAAAATACGAAACCAAATTACTACACGAACACACCCGTTGACAATATATTTTATTCGACGATAGAGTTAATCAAGTTTATTAATAGAGAATTTTTTCTTATCATATTCTGGCTATTTTATACTTATATAGAAATAAACAAGATAAATGTGTTTCAACAAAAAAAAGAAGGAAATTTATATTACTTTTATATATATAATGTTGTCTTTCACCATATTGATTCACTTTTTTATTTTTTTCTACCAATCAGAAACAAGATATGCACGAACACATCTATGCATTTTGACACCAATGTAGTGATCCGTTGCTATAGAAACCGCATAGAAAATGAGAACACACAGTATACATTTCTAATAGTTGTAAACGAAATTAACGACATAAACACAATGTCGCATATGTAAGTCTTTTTCTATAAACTTGAACACAGCTAACTGAATTTCATGCGAATCCTAATACAGACAATTCAGACGTGATGAAATTTCAGAGGGTTTTATCAATACGAAAAGTAAGACAATAGAATTTGAATGATCTTTCGATTATCTTATTTCTGAAATTGTGAAAGGGCTATTCAGCATTTCTACTAATATTGAGTCGACCCGTCGAGCGCTATTTAAATCTCAGGAGATCGTGTGAAGGTTAATTGAAAACTCAAGAGCCTTCAAATTATATTTGTATATTTTAGTTCGTATAACAAACAATGGCAAGATGCACAGATTGCCATGGTCGATATGTTGGCTATCGAAACACCAGAACAGCCACGACAACCAGAAACCGTATGTGAATCATCGTATATTGGCAATAATCGAATTATTGTTTTTGTTTATTAGGATGGCAATGCCGCCTTTCAACTAGTTGCCACTATGTTTGTGAAATATGTACAAATATTTCGAAAATTAGAACAATGCTATGATCAAATAGTACATCCACAAAAACGACGACTCATACGAACGGTTCTCGATGGTTGTATGGGAAGAGTACTTGAATTGAAACATGAAATGATTAGCATGGATTTTTCAGAATATCATTATTTTGATGATATACTTGCAGATCTTAAATTGACACCGGTTAGTTAACATACGAATTGCACAATCCATTTTTCTATGCCGAGATTGAACATATTATTGTCTCAAAATTTAATGTGACTGAATAGAACTTGTTTTTCTTTTAGAATGATCTTGAAATTCCAATACCAAATTATTTCGTTCTTGAACGTGCACAAGCAATTGAAAAACGTGAACGACTGCTTGGTCAAATCTTAGCACGAATGACATTAGATAATGAAAATCAAGAAACAAGTGGAATCATGACCATGGACGATGCTATTCGAATAATTCAATCTCATGAACGAGCTCGTCAAGGACGACTACGAGCTAAACAAATAGGAGAATTACGTCTTAATGATCAACGTGCACGACAACGTGCGAATATGGGTGAATCAAAAATGGATAAAATATTAGCAGCAACAATTATTCAAAAATACTATCGTCGTTATGTTGTACGACGTGAAGTTAAAAAATTTCGCGAAGAAGAATACATGTTTCTAGGCATGGTAATATTTTATTTTTCTATTCTGATGGATTAATTCTCATAGTGACTTGACTGAATGGTCAATAATTCTGATGACGAAGTTCACCAATCTAAATCCGAAGGCGCAATTAATATGTTGAAAATAGACATTTTGCAGTTTTTACCTGAAGGACGTTATGGCATCGATTTAAAAAAGCTACAGTAAAAATACACAAGCTTAGAGAGACATAAGCTGAAATTCTTTTCGTGAATGCTTTGGGATCTATGTAAAAGAATTTTTCTTGTACTGAACAAAAAAGTGCGCATATTTTTAGGCGATGCCAACATTTCATAAAGATCCGTTGAAACGTTTGCTTGCGGATGTTCGGGCACATGAAGATGAGCGACGAAAACGTCAAGAAAAACATGAAATAACCTATCAACAAGCCTTAATAGCAACACGCGAAAAAATCAAACAAACCGAAGGACCCGATATGAAAGAACGTTTACAAGAACAAATCCGTCAATGGTTTATTGAATGCAGGTACGAATCGAATTCTTTTCACTAATTATAAAATAATGAAATTTAATGTATTTTTCTTTCTTTAGAAATGTTTCACAAAAATTTCCCGATTTTCCAGATGAAGACGACGGAGGTTCAAATAAAATCTTTGAAAAAAAAACTGTCGAAGAAATACAAGAAGAACTTGATGCTGTACGATTGAACTCTAATATTATTTTAATTCATATTGATTTTCTTTTTTTTTGTCTTAGAAACTTGAAAGTAAAGGAGGAAAAGGCGATAAGAAAGGTTAATTAATTTCGAAGTTTATTGATATTTTATTTTTATTTTATTTTCATTTTTTCAGGCAAAAAAGGAAAGAAGGGGAAAAAAGAGAAGAAAGGTAAAATCTTGTTCTTTAAATTATTCTCAACTGTTGAATATTTTATTTTAGGAAAGAAAGGTAAAAAAGGCAAGAAAAAGAAGAAAGGAGGAGTATGTTGAGTTCAATCAATAATTTTACAAGATTAATTTTTTGAATTCTTTAAAAAAGGATGATGAAGAAGGTTGGACATTGCCGGAATCTCAATTTGTTACTGAGATGATAAAACCGTCAACACAAACATATCAAAGTGAATAAATCAATCAAAGAACTATTTTTCCTTTGTATGAACGCTGCTACTTTTTTCACTTAGGCTTTTGGGAAACAAGAGATGAAGCTCACAATTTTGAACAAAATCATGATAATGAAATAGTCAAAGAAGAAAAACGAACGGAAGTGACTGAAGAAATACGTATTGAAGTAGATGCTTTGATGCGAGAAGAATTAAAAAACCTAAAAGCGGTTAGTAACGAAAAATAGGTTAATATTAGAGACAAAACTTTCTTTTATTTTTAGGCTATTGATAAAACCAAAGAGAAAAAGAAGAAGAAGAAGAAGAAGAAGGTAAGTTTTTCATCTTCTGACGTTTAATTCTTAAACTAAACATCCTCGAGAAATATCTGAATATCTATATGCACGTTGAACAAGTCGAACTAAAAATTTTAGAAAGCTAAAAAGAAGAAGAAGAAAGAAAAAGATTTAACGCCAGACCGAACGATGGAATCTTTATACGAGGAACTCGTTATGAATCGTATAATAATTCGTCCCCCCAAAGTCGCTCTCAGTGATTTTCTTGGTGATTTCAATTATTTGCCAAGTCTTATTCGTCAAGCTAAACATGAACCTATGCCAACTATGTACGATGTCAAGCAATTAACTGCTCTTTATGGAATATTACCGCTTGGTTCGTTGTTTTACTATCAGTCAAGTTTAAAATTTGGCTATTTTATTTATTTAGGATCCGAAAAAGTTCATGAAATAGCACCTCAAGTAAAAGGTCTTCTCATTTGTGGACCTCGAGGATGTGGTAAACATATGTTATTACATGCTATTTGTAATGAATTGGGTGCAAATTTATTCGATATTACACCGCAAAATATTTATGAAACATATCGAGAAAAAGAAGGTATTAAAATGTTAATGCATTTGTGTTCAAAAGTAAGCGAATACGTTTAAAGGTTAAATTTTTATTAGAACATGATAATTATGTATAGGTAGGAAAAAATTTACCACCAACAGTAATCTATATTGGTGATTGTGAAAAATTATTTAAGAAAAAATTAAAACCGGAAGAAAAACAAGTAATGAAAAAATCTCTTTCTGGAAATTATTCAAACTGCTTTTCTATTTTTCTTTTTCAAATTTAGTTTGAACCAAAACGCTTAGCTAAAGCGCTGCCAAAATGGCTTAAGACAATCAAACCTGGAGATCGAGTCTTACTAGTTGGAATATCGCATGAACCTTATCAAGGTGTTGTTAAACCAATGATGAAAATATTTCCACGCGTTATTCTGCTGCCACGTCCTGAATATGGAACTCGCTTATGTACGTATTCTGTACTTTCTATACTAGAACTCAATAAGACAAAACCATTCACATTGAAATGCCTATGAATAGAAAAATCAGTTTCAAGTCGATCCATAGACTTCAAAGGTTCATGACGACGAATTTTTCTAGTCTTGATGATACGCAAAGTCAAATGTACTCGGGTGATGTAGTTCTCGTAAGTACAGCAACTCCCTATATCGTTGTCTACCGAAATTTGTCCCACTGTTGCATCGAATGAGACTGATAAGAGGAGCAGCGAAAACTTCATAACTCACTACAGTAGTTAATCGTTTATCGAATAGTATTTTTTAAAAGCGACTGCACATGTCCTATATAAGAAAAGATAAAAATACAGATATGAATTTGTTTAGTATTATGGAAAACATTAATAATAAAATATGGTGGTATCATAACGCCTGCATTAGATATAACATCGTTAGCAAAACTATCGGATTCATATGCTCCTGGACATATTCATAATACCATTGTTGAAACATTAACTGAACGACGTCTAGCTAAAATGGCAAAACATCCATTACAAGCAACTGACTTTATACCTGGCTTAGCTCATCATAATGCTATTTACAAAGAGGAAGAAGATGCTTACAAGGTAACTTTTATTTTAATGACGAACAAAAAACTAAATAAATCTTTTTTCCTTTTTGCAGAGCTGGTGGAAGAAAACTCCATTGGGTAAAAAACGTGAGAGATTTTTAGACGAGCTCGAATCGGGTGAAGGCGATGGCAAAGGGAAAAAAGACAAAAAAGGTGGTAAAGGCAAAAAAGGTGGCAAAGGCAAAAAGAAGAAGAAATAATCAATCTATTATTTGTTTTGTATACATTCATAATAAAACATCAAGGAAATCAAATTTGTTTTGTATAATCAATATAAAGTATTTTCTTTTAAAAATTTGAACATTTATAAACAGATGATCCTATTCTTCTTTTCCTTTTCTAAAATACAATATAATGCTTAAAGTGTGTTCGTTTTATTGCCGTCTTTGTTCTTAATTATGGACCTTTATTTTCTCATCAAAAAAACATTAGACAGAAAAAGAATTACTGCCGTCAATATATCTACTGGATTGTACCATTTGACGTGAAATTTCTTCTAGTAGCGATTGATCTGCTGTCATAAAACCACAGCATAGGCAAATGGATAAATATGCTATGCAATCGAGCGAATAACGATGAACTTGAACGATAATCACCGCCGCATCCCAGCCACCGCACGGTACATGTACATATAAATAATATGAACGTACATATGCGTGTCTCATCATCCCCCATAATTTTTCTAGCGCACGATTAAACATATTTATGATCATATTCATCCCATCACGCTCATCTTCACACAATCGATAAATAAATGTATGCTGGTCGATAAGATTAAACTAGAGAAAAGACAAATCTTTAATTCTTTTGTAATACACAATCATCAATCAAATTGATCTATTTGACTATAGAGTTGAAATAAAACCGAACGAATGAAGAGTGCAAAAAATAAAATATAAAACCAATATACACAAATAAGATAACTATACGAGGGAGGCCTCTCTTTCTTTTTGACTCTTTTAATTGACTATTAATGTAAACAATGTTTTGTATGCTCTTTTGTTTATTAAGAAAACAAAGTATTTCCTCGAACGAGCTCAACAACATGTACTAGAATAGCCATTATTCCCTTAATTGAATTGACAATAAGGCGTTGTCAAGAAATCACATTAGAACAATATTTAACAGAAGTCATTGTATATATATATCTTAGACAGTTCTTTTTTTTGACATACGTATACATATATATATATATATTTATGTAAATATATATATATATATATATATACACTAATATATGTTTTTTGTTTATTCCTCATCTTATGAATGAACTAAAGCACCATGTGTGAAAAACAGAGGACCCTGAACGTAAAAAAAGGAAAAGAAAAACACAAAAAAATGCCCTTCTCTACAAGAAGAGAAAAAATGAAACAAAAAAAACGAACAAGCAAACAAAATGATCGAAAAAAAATGAACAAAAGAAGAAGAAGAAGAAAACCGAAGGCAGAAAATGAAACCCAAAGGGTTCAACGGAGATGGGCAAGAAACATACTGTTTACACAAAAACAAAAGAACAAGGAGAAAAAGAAAAAGAAAAAGACAAAATTTTTTTGGCATAAGGTTTAAAGGAAAACACAGGGAATTTTCAGTTGCAAAGTAGTGCTCGACTACCACTGCTATTACCATTTCCTTGTTGTATTCGATGTAACTCTCTAACAGCTACATCAACAAGAAGTTGAAAACCGGCTAGATCACCACCGCCACCACCTATACTATTTGTATTAGTAGTTGATGTCGTCATTGTATCAGTCGAACATAGTAAACGTGTTTGCGGCTGTTGTTTTGAATCTGTTGATATTAAATTGATTACAGTCGGATCACGAATAGGTTTTAGTATAACATGATGCCTCGTTGCTGTACTACAACAAGGTTCAGTGGATGACGGTGATGACGATGATGAATTATCTATTTGTTGCGATAATTGTTTATTGAGTACATTTGAATTATTTGTAAGTATTAATGAAGGCGATGAACTTTGTTCAACAACAACATTTATTTTCACGGGTGATATCAATGATGAATTATCAGTTACTGAAATCATTGTTGTTTCTGTTGAAGTATTTTCTCCACTTGTTGAACAAATAGCTGACGATGGCGATGAACGTTTTTGATCACGCGAAAATCGTCGTGATATAGTAAATTTTTTCGGGTCAGTTCCTTCTTTTTTCAATAAATCTGGTAGAATTCGTCGGCGAGCATTAATAAACCAATTGCAAACTTGATTTATTGATAAATCAGCACGACGAGATAGATTAGCTTTTTCATCATCGGTAGGATAGGCATTATAACGATGTTCATAGAGCCAATTTTTTAATATTCGAACCTAAAAATGAAAGAAGACTTTTTTACAAAAAAACAAACAGAAGAAATGTTTTCTCTTACACTATCTTTCGGTAAATTGGCTCGTCGTTTTTTTAATTTCGATGATGAATTTGTTACATTAATATTTGTTGTTGATGATGATGATGACAGTATTGAATTTGATGAACTGTCAAGATCACAATCTGAGTCTGTTTGTTCACTAGTACGATTTCGAAGTTTTTGTTGATGATGATAATGAAATGATGATGACGACGATGACGATGAGGATGATGTTTGGCTTGAATTCATCAGAGATGAACGGTGTGGACTAACAATAACTTCAGCTGAATGATGATAGATAGACGTCGGATAGAAAAGATCATGATGATGGCTACAGTTCGTTGTTGTCGACGAAGGAGAAGGTGACGATGACAGTGGTAGTGTTGTTAAAGTAGTCGATGGTGGAGATGAAGACAGATAGGAAGATGATAGAAGATTGGACATCGTTTGATAATGTGGAATTTGTTGTGCGTTGCTACGAACATAGATATTATTTGGCTGATCAATCATCGAAAATGATAATAGCGAATATTCTACAATCAAAACAAAACTGAACTCAGTTGACAATATATGTATATCGAGTAATTGAACCGTATAATAAACGAAATAAAAAAAAGAAGGTAAAATGGGCTGTCACAATATATAAGTAAAATCAAATGTCATTGCTCGATTATCAAACAACTGCAAAATGACAATGCACAATATCATGATTCTAAGACGATGTTAAAATTATCTGTCAGGTCCTTGTGCGACAAAAAGAAGAAGAAAAAAAGAGTATAGAAAAAAAAAATGTCTCTCTTATCTTATACTATCTGAGAATGCGTACCTTATGTGTCGTCCTCCGATGTGTTTCTCCCGTCTTTTCTTTTTTTGTCTATAGACGAAAATCAAATACAGATGGTTTTTATGTATTATATATAAGTTTCTTTTTTGTTTCAATGAGACCAAGTGTCAATGGGAAAAAAAAATCTTCCACTGAATGAGATATGATCGATGATAAACTTCTCTCTTGACTCAGGTATGATTATATTTGGTTCAATCGTAAGGAAGAAGAAACGTTTCTTTTTTTTTATGATATCCTTTCAATGAGAAGCTCAGCTGATGAGAAAAATTACGTGTTTTATTCTTTCTTTCTTTCTTATCAATACGTATTTCCAGTGTAAAAAAAACGAAGATAATCTCGAGATGCTCTTCTAATGTTCTTTCTTATCAAGTTTGTGTCGAAAGAAGTCAGATGTCATCTCTTAGAAACTTATTCGACTGCACATATTTTCCTTATTGTCCTAATGATAATAGTTAAGACGGGAATATGAAAAGCGGCCGATCGTCATTAACTCATTATTTGACGTACCAGTTGATACGGTTCTTCTATTTTCTTTCTGCTTTTTTTTATTGTTATTATTCTTCCGCTTGCTTTCCCTCTCTCTCTCTCTCTCGTTCTCATTTTCTTTTCTATCTGTCATTATCATCATCATCATCATCATTATCATGTATCATACGATCGAAAAAGATAAAATGTGAGACATCACCTTATTGGTTGTCAGAAAGAAAACGAGCGCGAGAGAAAGGAAAAATCGATACATACACCAAAAAATGATTAATTCGACGCGTATGATATCAATCAAATGAGAACAGAAAGAGAAAACGAATAGACGAAAATCACTGCTTTTCGTATTCTACCTTATGCGATGAGCCTCATTGATCACAATCATCACATATCTATATGCACATATATATATTGAGATACCAATTATAAGGGGGGGGGGGTGAATATAACGACGAAGATAAAGA